AGATGACAAGCTCCCAAATTGTCAACCCAAACTGTGGTAGGTTTTTGTAAAGGAAAACCAAGTTCAGCCAGAAGACCTCTTAGCCAAAGGACATCACATGTAACTGCAGCCAAACTCCTGAATTCTGCTTCAGTACTTGACCTAGAAACGGTTGTTTGTTTCTTGGCACTCCAAGTAATGAGGTTAGGACCTAGAAACACACAAGTACCACTGGTGGATTTGCGGTCATCAAGGTCAGCAGCCCAATCTGCATCAGCAAAGCCAGTGAGCTGAAGAGACCCTTTCTTGAATTGTAAACCATATTGAATTGTTCCAGCAAGATATCTAAGAATTCTTTTCAATGCCTTCCAATGAGTATGTAGGGGAGTCTGCATGTATTGGCTGATCTTATTGACACTATAAGAAATTTCAGGTCTGCTAATGGTGGTGTATTGAAGGGCACCAACAACACTTCTAAACAAGGTTGGATTGTCAAATGGTTGACCATCATGTTTGGACAATAAAGGATGAGAGATCATAGGTGAGCTGACTCCTTTTGCTTCCTCCATTTTGAGACTGCACAGAATCTCAGAGATATATTGGCTTTGGCTCAGAACAAGACCTTGGTCATTATATGAAACTTCTATACCCAGAAAATGAGTTAGCTTGCCCAAATCCTTGATAGAAAAGAACTTCTGGAACTCTGAGATTGTGAGCTGTACCTCATCCTGGCTAGATCCTGTAATTATGATATCATCTACATAAACCAAAAGAAAGGTGGTTGACTGATGGTTGCTTTTAAAGAATAAGGAAGGATCTGACTTTGAAGCTACAAAATTCATAGACTGAAGAGCTGCAGTAAGTTTCAAGTTCCAAGCCCTTGATGCCTGTTTCAATCCATAGATGGCCTTGTTGAGCTTGCAAACTAGAGGAAGTCCTGTTGGTGAGGTTTTCTCAAGTCCAGGTGGCTGATCCATGTAGATATCAACATCAAGTTCTCCATTGAGGAAGGCATTGTCCACATCAAGGTGTCTCATGCACCAAGAATTGGTGATTGCTATGGACAGAAGTAATCTGATAGTAGCAGGCCTCACAACTGGACTAAAGGTGTCTCCATAGTCAAGGCCTGGCAGTTGTGTGAAACCCTTGGCAACTAACCGTGCCTTATGTCTGACCACCTTGCCAAGAGCATCCTTTTTCAATTTATATACCCATTTGCAGCCAACTGTACTTCTTCCTTCTGGTAGAGTTACAAGGTTCCAAGTATGGTTTGATATAAGAGCATTGTATTCTTGGTTCATGGCCTGGGTCCAATCTTTGGATTGCAAGGCTTCTGAAAGATTCTTGGGTTCTGAATTGTCATAGGTGATTGAGACAAATGCTTTAGGTTTTCTGATGCCAGCTTTTCCTCTAGTCACCATAGGATGAGTAGATGTTGTTCCAGTTGTGTGCTGAGATGGTTGGCCTTGTGTGCAGTCCAGGTGAGATCCACTGGGACTCCCTATGGGAAGATCTATAGTGATTCTTCCTACCTGAATTGTTGGAGAGTGAGGGTTTGAATTACTGCCATGAGTTGATGATCTAGTTGGTTGATGAGGGGACACATTAGCTCCTTGACTGCTGGATTGGTTTGCAGTATTTTGAGCTGAAGAATCACTGTGGTGAGCTGTAGTAATGGGTGCACTTTGTGGTTGCACCATTAAGAGAGGAGGAGAAAACAAATGTATGTCCTCAGGTGTCTTTCCTTCCAATAATGCCTTGTCTAGGAATGGAAATTTTCTTTCATTAAAAACAACATGCCTTGTCACCAACATCCTCTTATTAGGCAATAGTACCTTGTATCCTTTGTGTTGTGGACTGTACCCAATGAAGATGCTAGGTAGACTCCTTGGCTCTAACTTGTGCTTGTTGAGAGGCCTTAGGTAGGGAAAGCATAAACACCCAAAAACCTTGAGAGAGTTGTAATCAGGTTTCTGCCCACATAAACTTTCAAAAGGTGATTTATAACTTAGCACCTTGGCAGGTAGCCTATTGATCAAGTATACAGCTGAGGTAAAGGCTTCATCCCAAAATCTCAAGGGAACTCCTGCATTAGACATCAAGGCCAAACCTGTTTCCACTATATGCCTGTGTTTTCTTTCCACTAAGCCATTTTGTTGTGGTGTATAAGGACAAGATAACCTGTGGATAATCCCACTTTCTGAAAAAAATTTGTTGAGTGGTTTAAACTCTGTCCCTCCATCACTTTGAATAGCCTTGATGGTGGAATTAAACTGATTTTCCACCAATCTTTTAAAATACAAAAAGGCTGCTGGAACATCTGTTTTAGCCTTTAAAAGATAAATCCAAGTGAACCTAGTAAAGTGATCAACCAAGCTCATATAATAATAAAAACCATTCTGTGACCTTATAGGAGAGGGACCCCAAAGGTCAGTGTAAACTAATTGAAAAGCAGCAGTATATGAGGAATTAGAATCATAAAAAGGTAGTCTATGACTTTTAGATTGCAAACAAGCAGAACATTGTTCAAATTCCTTATCAAGTTCAATAGGTGGTTCCAAACTAACCAAGACTTTCTTGACTACATCATTGGCTGCATGGCCAAGCCTACTGTGCCATAAATTTAAGGTAGAATTTTCAGAAACAACACTAGAATAAGAAACAACTGGTCTTT